TTGCAAAATTTCAAGGGAGCTGTATACTGTAACTAATTGAAGTTGAGAATGGCTAAATATTTCCAATGTTACGCTACCGATTTGTTGCTACCTGTTTATGTTAAAAAGCAAGGGATCCAAAGGTTGGTTATCTAGCCAGGTACGTATGGCAAACGGAATTTTCTTATATTAGTTCACTTTAAGTTATGTGTGCTTTACTACTGTGCGAAACGATCACTATTCCGGGGTTGCTCGTACAAACGATCAGAAGAAAGTGGTGAAATTTTGTACGGATCTTCCCCTGAATGCACTGTGAACTCAAGATGTCAATTTTTATATTCACATCACTCTCGTTTGAATGGTCGACCGCCTGCCCTGGCGTAATAATTCTGGTGAGTCCACACCAAATGCATATCCCACAAACCCCACAACAGATATCAATGACACGAAACTACACCCTGGCCTTAGGCTCCACCTATACTTGGTGTTCCAAAACTCAGTACGCAGTGAACGTTAAGATGGTAACTGAGCTTCCGATTGTCCACCTCGCTCACTTGATGATTACATTCTAACCTATGTTGCCTAGCTGCGAGGTATGTTATCTATTAGCGTATGCTACTTCCTATCGATTGGCATATTACCTTGCTAAATTCTTCCACTCGTCAAATAAATTCCTGGAGCTCTCCAGGTCAAATTCGCATGTTTAAATTATGGAGGAGTGAGTGAGCCTATGTTGCTGAAGACACCGAGTGGCAGTAACCTAGCGCAAACAGTGGCATATAATTACACAGCTATTCACACCATTTTCATCGCAACCACAATCTTTATGAGCACAACTCACATCATCATCGACATCACTTCATTGCCATCCTCATCTCCAAACACGCCTGCGATGCTTGCTATTTCGACTTCAAGTTCACGCGTACGTATAGCAACAGTGAATTCTACCTAACTCCGTGATAAAAAAAACACGATTAAACACAGTAACACCGAACAGGTTACTTGAACGCATAGTCTGACAACTTCATCACAGATGTCTGTCAACAATCTTGTGCAGTTCACTGCAAATCCTTGAGTAATACAGGCATAGGACTCACACTGAGCCACCAGTTTCAACTGTTAAACGAAAACCATGTCCGGTGCTGAGACCGTTTAAGTAGGTTTTTCAGTGGATAGACACTGCGGAATGTTCCAGCAAATTCTGCAACCGCATTTGTGTATTTTTACCCAATGAAATTTATAACATGGTATCACTGAAGGTTTGACTAGTGTGAGGACACGGTAAGGAATTTTTACAGCAGTCTGTCGTTCCTCTGTAGCCTAGAGATATTTCATCGCCCCAAGTCTGATGAATCTTGTGTCTATTGACAGCATGTTTAAAATCATAAGCTCAAATAATGATGGTGGTTGGCAAAATGCCGCCCAGGTTCTATTCCATAGTGCAAGTTTGCTCATGGCATGTGACCAGTAAACAAAGTTAAGTGGGCAATACTAGCTTGTAATGTTCATTCTTTTCCTCTTTTTGTTTGGTTAATGTCTCCCCGTCTCTAACCTAATAAATTTTTGTTCTACTTTTAACAAAAGTACACATATCATGAACTTCTCTCGGCTACACGATTACAAATCGGTGTTGCTAAATACACTAGTAGACATCACCGGGACACCGGGATCCGCATGGCCAATGTCGTCTTTTATCATAATAAATCTTCTCCGTAATGCAGCCTTACTCAATATGTATGCTTGCAGAAGTAAGTGAGAGAAAATCTGCGCGAAATCTCATAAACTTAGGATTTTTATTCCACGGGCAACAGACAGCGACAATAGCAAACAGTGCAGCCCATTCAAAGCCCTGTTTGTCAAAGTGACATAATTCATAGCTATATTGCTGTTGAGATCATCAAATGTGCTAAAATACTATCATTTTTTCTACATTTTCCCCACCAACCACGGTAATCATTACCCGAAAAACGCGCTGAACAATGGCAGTAAGCAATGCCATATTTGGTTAAGCTTTTCATCGAAGGCGTTCACGTCATCTAGAAACGAGAGTTATCTAAAAGTTCCGTGCCTTGATACACAAATAAATGTTTGTAATTGTACACGCCACAAGATATCTCCGTTGAACGCATTAAAGAGTATCAAATTGATCCTCAGAATCCAGAGTAAATAAGAAACAGGGACATGCCACTGTGGATTTAATGACCAGGGTTAGTTAAATGTCTTATTTTATATCAGTGTAAAACCGTGTAAATCTTCTACCTAGAAAAGGTCGTTCAAAAAAGTGGCAGCAGTCTGAGGCAGAAAACAACCATTAAATGTCTTCACATAGTACAAATCGGGGTTCAGTGGACTGAATAGAAAATGATCTTATCGAATTCTTTTGACCACATTCATCTGCAAACGGTGACATGTAGTAAACAAACAGTAGCATTTCAGACGGCCATTTCTGCATCCTTAGAAGTTTCAGTTTCATTCAAATAGCATCTGTTGACAGAGGCGTGCGATTTGAAAATAATGTCACGTTATTCCACTCCATCTCATGAAGCCTTCCATATTTTCGCGGTGGGTTGTCCCTCTTTGTGACAGCATTCTACCTCCATGTGATGGCAGCAGATATCACAGAAACAAACCAACCTATTTTCCTATCAACTCAAGCGCATGGAAACGCTGATATTTGCCATTTAAAGAAATCGTCACTAATTGAAGAAGGTATGGAACCGCTTGGGAAGTCATCGTTCCAGAAGAGCTTTATAAAAAGCGGTAGATTCTATTTGAACAACGTTTCGCTTTTGGCACAAGAGCTTCATCAGGCCAAGTGAGCAAACCACCAAATTGGCCAGGTTATAAGACAGACGGGGAACCCATCAGTAAGTCCTCTTCAGATTATCCCACTGGATCAGTGTGGAGTATCAATTAACGGTTCTTGTCGGTTAGTTTGGTTGTCAAAATCTTGCGCTAGTGGATTGGGGGAGTTTCAAATTAGCGAAATACACTCATTTGCAAACTGATTTGGTTTTTCGAGTGACTCACCTGGAACCCAGCCGAATCTCTCAGTTTTGATGTTTCCAGGCAACTGAATGTGCTACACCAGGCCGCTGCATGTTTCAGTCGCTACGACATTCGAGATATCGCGGCACATTTATATTTTTGTAGTTCACTAATCATAAGGTTGCTGAAAACTCCTCGAGTTTCAAATTAATTCTGATCGGGTTTGGTTTCTTAATCTTCCACTTCAGGATGCTTCACTTGACAAATCACCTCGTGTGCCAGTGGTAGAATTTCTCTGGTCGGGGTTAGGGCGTCAGGTCAAGTCAGACGATGAATACTCCTCCTTCTGATGAGTGCACACCAACACGTATCAGCTCGACTGATCCAAAACCGTTCTCCACACGCTTGCCATTTCAACGCCTTCTACTCTGTTAACAATGGGATGCTTGGCGATTTCTACCGCCTCGTCTAGCAGTCTCTGTGAAGTGAACCGTAGTCCTAACCTCAAAGCCTCAACATTTTCTAGGTCTATTTTGTGTCCCGTGTCCAGTGCGTGTTCCGCGATTGCCGAGTCTTTCAGTAGCGCTTGACATTCATCCGCGTCTCTCGGTGACCTGTTTATTTCCCTGCTATGCCCTCCGATTCTGGTCTGAAGTTCCCTGGCTGCCGGTTCTATATAGACTTCAGTGCATTCATTACACTTAATTTCGTAGACACAGTCCCTGGTTCTGTTTGCCGAGAGGCGATCCCTCAATTGCACCAATGTAGAGCGCAGTGTCCTCTTCTGGAAAACTGCTCTTATGTTAGCCGTGTTTAGAATTCTTCGAATGACCTCCGGTGTCCCTGGTTTATATGGAATAATAGCGGTCCCGATCCATTCCCTGTTGGGCTTCGCTACCAACACCCTTCGCAACTGGATATCCACTGCCCCGAAGTTTGATCTTTTCCTCAATTTGGGCCACTGTCCGATCAGCTTCTTCTGTGCACAGGGCCTTTACATGCCTAAATATTGATGAGGCAATACTGGCGAATACCGACTTTGGATGAGCAGACGAGTAGTTCAAAACTGCCACAGTGTCGGTTGGCTTCTTGTCCACTGTGGTCTTTAGTTTCCCCCGACCTTATGTGTCATGCAGTCTAAAAAGGTCAGTTTACCCGAGGTTGACTCTATCTCCATACTAAATTTGATGTGTGAACTCAGTTCATTGAGAAAGTTTTAAAACTGACTAACCTTGTCCGTCTGATCACGTTGAAAGTGTCATCTATATACCGCCAGAATATCTTAGGTGGGTATGGGAATCCGACTAAAGCTCTCTGTTCAAATTCTTTCACAAATATGTTTGTCAAGACCGGGGATATTAGAGATCCCATTGCTAGACCTTGTTCTTGAGTATAAACCACAGTCAAAGACGAAGTGGGGGAGATTCAGAAATGCTTTTATACCTTCCACTATTCTATCCCATCCGGTTGCTGAACCAAACTGTAACTGGAATAAAAAGCAGTTTGACCAGGATGTTTGCTCTTTTGGTGTTCTTAGTTCTTTGGAAGGGTTCCCGCATGTGAATTCATATGTGGTCTGAGATGATAAATGGGTGGCACGGCAAAATAGGAACGGTAAACACACTAGCAAAAGGGAATGTGATCCTTACAAGTTCTTCAAAAGCTTACGTAATGCGTAGGTCTTGGAAAACGGCCATTCTAAGAAATAATCTAATTCAAGTAGTGCTTTGTGTATCGTCTGTTCTGCATTCCTGTTGGGTTTCGGATCACCGCTAAGTATATATGGGCTCATGATATCAAACATTTGGAACTATTCTCGCATTACATATCGGTTTATCCGGATTGGTTGATCTATAATGAAGCATAAGATGGAATATTCGTCATGGTTTGAGTTGACCAGAATTCGTCCCAGATCTATCAGTTTACCTACCATTAGCAGAAAGGGTTGTAGCATTGTTTCTCACTTTGACACTGATCATCCCTAATCCCTTTCGCGGAAAACAAAACGACAGTTTTGTTTCGTAACCAGGTGCAGGAACTAAATTCGTCACTCAAGAACAAAATGGAACACCAGCACACAGACAAAAATACATCGTTCGTAAAACAATCTATGGGGTGTGGTTTCAAGTACCATACATGACCAAAACAGATACATTTGGAAGAGTAAATAGTCTAAGAACAGAAACAAGCGAGCCGGAGGAAACGTGTCATAGAGAGGGAGAAAAGGTTTGTGTACGCCGGATTCTTAAAATAGATGCAATTGAAGAAAGGGAAATCAAAACACTGGGTTTTGTCAGAAGTTAGAGTTCAGACGGTTCAGAGCATACCTAGTAAGATTTACATATTGTACACGATCACAGAATGTGGACAAAACATGGTTTGAATGTGAAGGGATGGTTTTGTACAAACCGAACTGAGCTCCGAACTGACGGCGCGTTGGTGACAGAGGCAGCTGAAGTCCGATGGCAGGTTTAGTTACCGATGTAACACTAGTACGCTTTCGACTAAATAGGGTTGAATCTTCCCAAGGCGCTTTCTTTGTGGCCTGTTGTGACACCGAAGTATAGTATGAGTCTGTTTCATTAACAGACGATTCCGAATCATGCGGTTCATCGAGATCTAGGTAATCAGATGAACTGATTCCGTTCTGTCGAGCAATATGTTCGGACAATATGTTGTAAAATACATCGTTTTGAAGGGATGTGTTAAACTTCCTTCGTTCATCTGTTGAACTTGTTCTAGAAGATGTACCCGGAGTGCCGACGGGCGTTTCAGGGTTGGCTCTCCCATCTATGTCGCTAGTTGAAATCCCAGATAGGGTGCCTTCACCAACCTGAATAGGAAGAAACGAAGCCTGATATTCAGGATTCAAAGGAAAGGAAAAACAAACAAGGCTTCCCTGCTAAGGTATGATTCCATCATGAATCGTCTGTGTGGTGAGTAAACAACCACAAGATTTTGGGATGAATGTCCAAATTTTTAGCGGAAGTAGGTATTCACGACGAATAAGGCTGTATATACAGAACCCTTGAAATTTAGACAGTCGTTTGAACAATAGATTTTTAGTGCCATATGATTGGGGCTAAAAATATCTTAACTTATCAGTACAAAATGTTTGAAGAGTGAAGAAAGTCTGCTTCTTTAATCCCGGAGGTGTGCAGACCCCATAGAATATAAATTAACTGCAGTCTTTTTTTACCAGGACAGGCCTTTGTACGTATATCTAGATAGGGAAGGAAACCCTATTCAAGAGGATTTTCAGGTTCAGGGAGGAGAGTGAATTCCCTGAACTTTGCAGGTATCAGCTTGTTGGTTGAAGTCATGTGATATTTGATTAATTCAACGAAAATCACAACTGTTTTTCTCTCTTGGCGCCACTATTGCAGGTGTCAGGTGTGTGCAGTCAAAGCTGATCAGACGTTTTAGTGATAATCAGTGAAGTTCAACTCAAGAGAGAGGGAGAGGTTTTATGAAAATAATACGTTATAGTTTATGCTATAACAATGACCCTGTCTGTCTTCCGTATACACCAGGTGAGGCATATAGAGACATGAGACCCCGACAAGTGTGTGGAGCGCGGGAGCAAATGAAGGGATGCTGACTAGCGAAAGGTTTCGACAGATTACCTCCGGTCAATCCAGTTACAAGGTAATGATACAGATCTGGGATAAGCTGCCAGTTTCTACATGGCTGTCAGTGTACCCATATGTACCCATGTGTAGTCAATGGATGTCACCTAATACGGTTAGCATGTCACTCCGTGGAGACATCTGGATCACCCGTTTGGGAGTGCACCAATTCTAGTGTATGCACGTACCTCTCAAACATAAAGGACAGGGTATTTTGGCCGGTCTGCAATACCCGTCGGTGATCTTACACGCACACACATTTTCAGGAAACGAGTGAAAGTCCATGTAACAGTACTGCAACTCTGACAGCTTTATGTTAGCTTTTTGTCCTGATGGATTTTCCACAAGTGGGGGCGCTTGTATCTTACCTTTGGACAACAGAAACATATCTGTTGACGTGACCAGCCATCGCCATACTATTAATCAAACAACTGGGATATCATCATGTGATTCAGGTAAGCAATACATTCAAGTGTTCTTGGCGCTGACAAGAACAACTAAACTTATTACTGTTCGGTTACCTGAAAATCACGTACCCCACGAGGCTATTCCAGTTTAGGTTGAGTTAAGCCATCAAGCTCATTGCTCAATGTCAGCTATACTAGTCAGATGTAACCAGTGAAGCTCACCTCAGCCACCGGACATCCTACCCGGAATTAATCAACTGCCGTGCCAAACATTGTTCGCGTAATTTCATTTCTGAATATAATTATCTCTATTGAGGAGCACTGCGGTTGTTTCCCTCAGCAAGCCAATTGTTAAGCTTGTCGGCCCAGGCCTTTTAGGGAGAATGGACGTTACAGTAGGCACTAAAAAATTTTTTGGTAAGCCTTATTTTAGAGTGGAAATAAGGACAATTCTGCTCGGGTCACTCACTTTTGCTAGCTGTGGCGCCGTCTTACGAAGCATCGAATCGGCAAGTTCACGTAATGTTAGTTGATTAAACTGGGGTTGTTTTATCCGAGAATTTGGCGAATTTTTACTTTCTTCATTGCCACCTGTTGTCTCCTCTGCCTTCTTCTTGATGGCTTCCCGTCCCTCTCCGTCTTCACATACTTGATTCAGTGGCCCAGTTTCACTTTCCTCCACAACGTCAGAGCTAAGCGGTCTGCTGGACCAATCTGCCTTGGCCTGCCAGCGCCTGACCAAACCTTGAAGATCCGGATCAACCAATAGAGCTTCTCTCAAGTCGGATAAGAGAATAATGGAAGACTTTCTGGATGGTTCAGTGGGGAATGTCTTGCTCGAATTACCCACCGGGTCAAAAAACACGTCATCAGTAATATGCGATTGTTCTGAAGTGTCCGCAGGATAGTGCTCCGTCAGCAGGTGATGACCGTTTAGATGAAATGAGGTTCCAAAATCCTAAATGCGAAAGGATAAAAATAATAGAGATCACTGTTAGAATAGCTCCACAATTCCAAATCAGGTTGAAACCCTGAGAAAATCTGAAAGCACATTTTGTGAACTACTGAGGCAAAATCAGAATGCTTTAATGATCGGGATGTTCCCCAATTTAGGCGTAGTATGAAGTGCAGACTCAAAGTTGGTGATGTATTAACCAGAAACACGTCAAGATTTTGGCTGAAACATCGCAGTTCAGCACAACTTGACACCTTCAAATGCTGAAATGACTTCTGGTCCACCCTGTTTCCTAACGGTCTCCGAATTGTTTGTTTACCTAACATGACATATAGTGCTGAAAAATACAAAAAATCAAACGATCAAAAACCTTTGTCTTTTTAGCGGTGGTTGTGAGGGGCGAGACTCCAAAATAAGGGAATGGCTTTTCCACAGAGATTAGATACCTAATGACTTCGATCCTCCGAACAAATTAGTTATGTTTGATTCAGGTAGCATTTTTTAAGCTAGCCACACCCAAGAGTATGGTTCTTTTAGCGCATATCTTACAACTGAGCGTTCAATGCACGGGGTCTGTGGTTCATCCTTACCCACCTTCATCGAACCTACTCACAACATGGGAATGAGTAGTACAACTAATATCAACTGTTCAGTCATCGTTGCTTTCAGGGGCGAAACCAACAGTTTCTGTGGAGTTCCACCACAAATATGTAGAATCATCATATGAATAAGTCCGACAATGACGTAAATATGACAAAATCCCGATTATGTGTTCGGTGTAACCAACTGCTGCAGCAACAGTGAAAATAAAAAAGCCATATTGGACTCTACATTAACGTGAAAATAGCGGATAACCTAAAGGAATCTTGACGCTAAACAAAAAAGTTCAAACAAAGATATGCACTTCTGTAGAATACGAGTTGTGCTTATGTCCGTTCATTGCAGTGCCCCAGTGCTCCAGCCATATGAAATTACTGCTTTTTCTCCCAAATAGGATAAAGAGCACAGGGATGCAGAACCATTTCAGAAAGTTAACTTTCAAGTATGAACTGATGTTCACTATTGGCTTTCCTAAGTAGATAGTGGTTGATTGTTCAACCAACGAAGTGTAAAAATGTGATTTAACTGTCCAAACACTAATGTGTTTAATTATCTGTGTGGTAGTTTTTCAAACTTAAAAGTCTTCCTGTATTTGCTCATCGTGATCTCCATAGCCTGTAGATTTGGCAGGTATCGCGAGTGCCAATGGATGACCCAAGTCTGGGTAGCAAACAAACAGTGCATTTGGATTTTTCAGCATGAAAATTTGAACAGACAGGAGTTCCTAAAGGAAATTTTTTCTTGGTCGACTTGATGTGTGAGCAAAAATGCTGCCTGGCCGCCTGTAGTCATCACGTCACACGTTCTACTGAAGAAGCCGAGTGAACAATGGACAGCAGCAAAGTTTTTGAAAGATAAAGTCGAAATTTCTATACTAAAACTAATTCAGAGATTTTTAGGTAACCGGATGAAGATGACAGTCAAGTGTAGTAGGAGCTGGGCGTCGTTCAGGGTGATGCAACAATCGGATACACCAAGTTCCCGTTATCGAGAAATTCCATACTTTCCGAAATCTAGAAATGAAGTGCACGTGACGATGGAAGAATAGACCATTGTATCTCTGCCTGATGTATACTTTCTATATTCTGATGTCATTCGAGTCAGTCGGTTAAAAGTCCGTTTTTCACCAAGATGGATGTCCACAAAGCAGGCGGATAATAGATAAAATAATATCGATGTCAATTGCCCTACATCTTATCAGTTTAATTGCTGAAGCAAAAGGCAAAAATTCAACCAGATGATTAAAGGGTGTCCATCTGACTAGGGGATCATCGTGCTAACTGAAAGCACGACTAGTGATAAGGTTCGCATTGTATGACATTCCTTTACTTCTGGAAAGGTTTGGTCTAAGGTCCAAAAGCTCACTTTTTCGATAATACACCAATAAGGGCAACAGTGCACACAAACTGGAAATCAACATGATAATGTTTTGTCGAGAAGCAAATTTTTAGCTGGTAACTTGGAGCCAAAAACCTCCAACTGGCCAGGGTGTCAAAATGAATGCCATTTTAAGCAACATATTGGATAAAACCACTAAATCACTCATCCGGATCGACCAAAGCTTCCACCAGATACTTGGTGAGTGTTTTAGAAATAGGTAAGAAAAATGTAGAAAAAATCTTACAGGCAGCTGCAAAGAAAAGTTGTGTCAAAGCGAATCGGTACACCGCAGCATTCTGTGAATTTTTCACTAGAAGCAATGATCCACAGTTTGATGAGATTATCTTTCGACTCGTTATAGCCGGTAAATGCTGTAAATAGCGATTAAGTCACCTTGCTTGTTTTCAGGGCGCCTTTTGTGACCACAAGTTGCGTATAACGTATAGTAACGAACTAATAGCTCAGTCGGTGTAAGTAGCTGAGTAGTTTGGGAGAATGGTTGTAATCGCGATTTTACGGGGATAAATTTCTCCCGGTAAATTTGGGTGTTTTATTGAGTAGTGTGAAAGTTACAACGGACATAAACAATTTTCATCTTTCAACTCCCGAGGGACTGGAAGACAAAAATGGCCGGAGGTAATGCAAACCTCATGTTTCGTGTTTTAATTCGGAAATCCTATCTGCGAGGATATTGACGCACGTTCATGCTGCAGCGTTCAATCTACTGAGATATGATTAGTAGCGTTGGGTTAAATCTATCAAGATAAGTGAGTATAAACCATGATAGCTGAAGTCAGACGAGTAAGGACTAGCCAGCTGACATAGAACTACGAATCAATCCCGGAAATTTCAAAAGAAAAGCCGAAACAACCCAAACTACTGTCCCTGTTCTGAGTATCACAGAGTACAAACAGAACATCAGCCAAAACATAAAAGCATGCAAGGTCTGGCAATTATCTCTGGTAACTGTTTGGTGACTCTATCATTGTGATGGTGGTGGTAGGCAGTATTCAGAGCCAAAATAGAGCAGAATTCACCGGTTACTGGAAAATTACTTCCAGATTAGGTTTATTTAGAGCAGTGATGCGGAATCATAACCAGTACATTAAATGGCTTTTACTCGGTGGTATTTAGACACAGTGCCACTAGATTGGAATAAGCTAGGAGGCAATAAATAATGACCAATAAATAACAACAAAGTATGCTGGCAGACAAAATGGCCAGAAGCAAGAATTGCCGAAATAATTCTTAATACATCTGAAGGCGAACGCAAACTGCGATATGTGTAGGTCTGTCAAAATGAACGGTTAGGGCTGAGATTGTTCTGAATAAATTGACGGTAGAAATCAAGAAGTCTGAAGAAGAACAAAGCAGTGAGCAACTAAAAATGAAAACAGTTCGTGTATAACAATCTGAGAGCTCAAAAAAGGCCTTGAAAGCTATTGGGGGACTTGAGCTGATTGTGGACAAAATATTTGATAGATGCGAAACAGGAAACCACCAATATGTACCCTCAAACTATAGTAACTCGATTGAACCGAAGCAAAAACCCAACCGGTAACGCCGGCATTTTTTTATCCACGCAGGTATAACAATTTATATGATGTGGCACGCAGCATTATATATATATATATATACGGTTTAGTTTACCACGTGACTATTTCCCGATAAGGCTTTGGATCATCTTGAACAGCCTTCTAAGTGTGTGTAACGTGAAACCAATGAATGTCCTACGCAACTCAGACGGCAGGATAATCATCCGCTAAGCAAAATATTGCTGGTTAGAGTACTTGCATACCTCCTGAAGGTTTTGAAGGCATTATGTTTTACCAAGTTTTCAAAATGATATGCTTATGATAAATCAAATTATATTGGATTCGACATTCTTAACTGCAAGCCTGTCATCTGGTAAACAGAGCTTGACGAGCAAAAATAACAACCGTGCGGACATGGCGCTAGTCAATAATGATTGTTGGATTTTTCGGAACAACACCCTCAGCCTAACGCAATGTGTGTTATGGATAATGATGCCAACTAAATAAACTTTTCAATAGAGACCATAAGGAGTTGAACTAAAGGTCAGCCGGTAGACGAACTGTTTACAAACTCGATTTGCAGTGGACAGACCAAGTGTCGAAGTAAATTTACCATAGGTTTGCTCTGCCTAGATTGAGGTAGCACGGCGGTCACCATTGTCTCATTGAATCGAATAATGCTTGTGGGCGCACACTCCTCACAGCTCCACATGTCTGGTAACAGGAGAGTCGAGCGTCTCTGTCGGTTAATTTGTCGTCGGTATTGAGACTTCAGTTCTGTCAATTTGGTACTCATTCGGGCTCGATGTGCCAACGGTGATCGGACGTTAGGTTTCGGTCCAACAATCTCACCTACCGCACCAGGTCCAATCTAAGGCAAGAAGGGAGTACACGATAGGTCCGATTTAGTAAAAACCTGTGACTGTTCCATACATATTGCATTTATAACAACCAGTCTTAGCTATAACTCTAGTGTACACCAGTGTATGTTGTCCCTAAGCTTATGAAGTGCAAATGTTCAGCAACTCCTGATCTTATGGTTTTGATTTGAGGGGGAAATCTGGCGTTCAGAAGTTTCTTGAGCTGTTCTCAGACGCCTAAAATAATGCCATACGAAATACCACTTCGGAGCAAAACCACTTCGCAATTGGGATCTGAACTACGCAATTCATCAGATGCTTGTAGGATGTTAGGTTTACAAAACTTGAGCACTGCGTATTAGTACGTTCCAAAACTTATGTAAATTATGAAATTATGTAGTCAGAATAGATCTGGTTGCTCATTTTATTTTACTTTCACTTAAGATTCCACTATCCGCATTTGTCTATGATACACAGGTATATAGAAGACGGGATTACAACACAACAAACGCTCTTTTTGGGATGAAAGCATCCCACAATGGGAGCAGCATTGTACCGTTGATATAATGCCACTTATGTAAACTAGACCATTGATGAAAAAGCAGAGTTCTCGCCATTCACCGTAAAAGACGGAACACTTCTACTGTGGCATAAAAAGATGGACCGGTCAAGAGGTTATCAATTGTGAGTAGTGAGTTCATAAATAAATATTTCATTCCCCACCCAAACTGGATTCCTTTTTAACGTTTAGGCCAGATGGAATTAGTACATCATGCGTAATTAGATATTTCATCCTGAAATCGGGCTACCGGCGTTTTATTACCAAATCCTCCTAAATTTTGTCATTGCCAAGATTTTCTAACCATCCCGCCATCTCTAACATTTTGTACCAAAATTTAATGAGGAAACTGAAATCACAGTATAAACTCTCGCTAACGAACTTTTCCTGCTCGCGGAGCGTGTTCCTTCGTAGCCAATTATCCTGAATTTGAATTATATAACATTTCCGTTTCGTCGGCAAAACAGAAACCTAAAGTTTACTTGAGTCTGCCGAAGGAAAATTGGGCAATTCTTATCACCAGCCATCACAACCAGCTTGGTTCCTAGAAAATCGTGAGTGTGGTTCTTAACCCAAATTCTGATAGCGACATGGTGGGTTGACGTGCAGTGTGTCCTAATGGCGGTTCACCAGTTCATTTGGATAGTGCCCCTCAAGTGATCGCAAAATTTTAGGGGTGGTTTCTCCTGGATCGATCCACCGTTGACTATTTGTGAGCTCCACCTGACTTTTGTTCTATAGACGGCTGCTGACATCGAGTAAGCTGACCTGTTGTGAGCAGTCATGCCATTTACTTAACCAGCGATCGGTCGCCCTAAAATGCATGATACTTATCGCTTGGCTCCTTGAAAACACTATTTCTCCGCAGCGTGGAAACACCGTTCGCCTAAAGCATCAAAAATCAAACTCAACTGGAGCTGTTGCTCAAGGCGGCCATACTCATCAAGGAACTCTGTAGTATATTCTGACAGGAATGTATTAGAAATAAAACAAGCGGAATCGTTTATCAGTAAGACTCTTTTGGTGCCGAGCTGCCACGCAATGAGAGGGAAGCACAGGGGATAAGATACTCTCAGATTGCTCAGACCCATACAGGAGCAGTCAAGACGCTGGGGTTGGGTTCAAACAAAGCACCATTTGGTCAGTAGGTTTGTGCCCTAAACACGGAGCCTTTCCGAGCTGACATGTAAGAAACTGCAACTGTAACGAAGAATTCTGTCCTGACTGTTTTCGGCAGGAACTGTTTGCTTACCCTACTGATATCAGATGCTGTGTGACTGACTGGCAAACTTAACCTTCGGTCACATGTCTGTTTCCTGCCTGTGCAGCTGGTATCAGGTGGGAAGGTATTCGACGGTGTTCTTTGTTTATGTGAAGGAAGCGAGTCCAACACTTCCGAAGACTGACATAGAATCCTGTCACTCTGGGGAAGCGATATAGTAAATGATGATGAATCGAGACCGATAGTCTGTCCTTGATTGTCGTCTGCCGTTGCCAGATTATGTGAACTTTTTTGTTGGCTGCCATCCACAGCAGAAGAACTCTTATGATACTTATTGGGGAATAACGAAAACTTTCTCTTTATGTTCCCTCGAACTGGAGGAGCCAGGCTAACTTCTTGATACCCGTCATCATCCTGAGTGGAGGATGTAACCTGGTTGTTCTCTTTTCTGTGGTACCCATTCGATTTGGAAACAGAGTATTCCTCCCGGGAGTCGGGTGCATCTGAAAACCAAAAGCAAACATTCAAAATGGTACCAACTAAAGGCAATACCAATTAAATGAAAAATCTATGTGACAGAATTATAAACAAGTTTGACTCACCTTTGCCGACTGGAGCTCCATTGGTATCCCTGTAAGAAACCAGACGGAGATGTGGAAATCATACAGCGGGGTGAGGCACGTTAAAAACCCAAAGTACATATAAAACCGACCTCATGACCTTCATTTGCTGGAAGATTTTCCTACGAGTTGTGTTTGCTCGAACACTAGCAGGCATCATTCATACGTACGTGGATTGAACGTTCGTTTATCTCTCTACCAGTGTCACTCGGACTTTATTCTGCGGCTGTATAGTCTAGAAGTGTTATGTCGGCAAGTGGTTGGTTGTGAAATAAAGAAACTATGTAGTCCCGAATTTACTCACGGTCCAACGGCCATGGAAGCAACACCATCGTTAAGCACGAATTTTCCATAGGACTTAATTCAGTCACACGAATTTATATCTAAAGTACATCGACTCCTGGTTGCCAGCAGTTAGCATTTTGTCCTAGACTACCGAGAGATTTAGCCGATGGTCCGAACTATTCTTCCATTTCCTTGTTTTGCCAAGAAAACCTCTTGGATTGAGATGATCTTCAGTCCTTTTGTGGAAACAAGGATTCAGTCACTGTTGTGAGCAGCGAATGAATTAGATAACCCGAATTCCATATTGTTAATCTCAAACTGTCTGCATTCTTCCCGGAGGACATGATGATTTCTTATTCAAGAGCTATATGTTTTGTCAGCAATCTGTTGATGGGTGCGTGGTCGAGGTGCGAGTTGTTCCCAAAAAGAGTGTTTCAACCAACGTCAACTGCGCTGTTGTGCGCTTCACTCAGAGGTCTTCATTGTTTCGCTTTAACTCCCACTTCTGAACCAAAAAGAAAGAAAGCGTTCAGCTGTAGCACCCTTCCGGTGCCTAACTGCCATGCCACCCGAAGGAAGCACGAGGGCTAGGATACTGCCAGGTTGCCCAAGCCTAGACCAAAAAGACGAACCTTAAATGAAAAGACTATGCTAGGCTTACTGATATGAGTAGGAAACCAAAAAAATTGCGTAACTGAATCACTAGTTACTTCTGCGTTCGCAGGTTAGCAGGAATATGGCCCAGAAATCTTGTGTTCGGTTTATTTTATATATGTAAGCTAGTATTTCCACTATGAATCAACAAACTCTGGTGCATAGAGGTATTAACTGTCAAAACTATACGTTCTCTGTCTAGCATTTCAACATAAACCGTATGTGGAAGTCAGTGTTAGCTTACAACAGAAATGGCAGAGAGCCAAGCAATCAAAAACACCCCACAACATAGCTCCTTCATTGTTTTGGATATTTTAAAGTTTCACATTTATAATTGTACTAATAAAGAGCTATCAGTTGGCCCTTCGGTAGGCTTCAGATTACTATTATAAAAACAGAAGTAGATACAGGTTAAAGTCAGTCCACAAAATATGCGAAATGAAACAACAGTGATATGCGAGTACGACTGCCATTCATGCTGGAAATGAACACATGCAAGCAAGGACAACTCTAAAGAAAAAGTATATTAACTGTCAAGGTTTCTATTTAGATAGCCCTCGATGGTGGGAGCAACGAAGCAGATCCTACGCAAAAGGTATCGGAGAAATGAGTCGAATACCAACTCTAACCAGAATACCACAGGAAAACTTCAAAATCGAGAATATACTTGATATCCGCACTGAGAAAACAACCCAAGTAGCAAGGTCCCGCGACTTATGTTATGAAGTTTCAAACACGTGTACGCCTATCTCATAGTAGAGCTAACGCAGTCAGTCAGTGTTGTTATTTGGACGAATCTCCCATCCAAAAACAACGATTCTGGAGATTTTATAACGTCTTTCCTTGTCAGCCACGATAACACATGCGATATCACAGAGGAGAAGTGAATTAACCCTTTATGTCATATTAGTCCATGGGGGTCAATCTATTCGCTATCGGAAAGTCAAATAATGCAACCAGGGAGGGAGACTAACACACAACTGTCTGATTTATAGGTTCCACCTAGGTTGTGCACTTTATTTTCAGTACGGATACAAGTAGACTAACTGATCTATCCGCATTGCGAAGAACACCCGCTCAGTCGGCATAGAGGCATCAAAAGGGTTGTATGTGAAGCTCTGGCTGTAAGTCTCAAGTAGAACACAAGGTTGATGGAAACTCGGGGACCGCGCCTACCTGATGAGCCTAGAGAGGGGCAAAACCGGTCGTGGGCCGTCAAACAGTTTTCAGCAACCTTGTGAGTAGTTTCCTTTATGTAAGTCGGTGTGCCCATCCACTATTCCAACTGGTACGGGGTCAACCTTACAGCTCCAACTTTGCCACCAAAGAACAAAAAACATGGGTAGCACTGAGCAAATCACACTTATACAATTTTGTGGAATACTAAAGCTTTCTTCGTAAAGGGGGCTAAATTCCTTCCCTGTCATTATCGCGAAGAGCTTTTTGAGCCTAAATTTTACCTCAAAACCCAAGGGTTTTAAAGTTGTGTTATCAATATTTTGTAGTTTTGAGGATGCAAACAATTGAAAGTCTAATAAAAGAGACCCCTAAAAGTATAAAATGTAACAAAACTCCCATGTATGCACCATAAAAAATTTCTAAATGATTTTCAGCACCCAGTTCCAATTTCGGAGACCAGAATGCATCCCGTGAGCAGGGTAGTAGGGGAACGCCTCTCCCCGTGCGGGGAGGCGTACCTCTTTCAAGAGGGAAAAGTGGTTTTATCCTGACGGCCAAAACTAGTAAGACTCTTCGAACGACCCTAAAGTTAAATTCTATCTGAAGCTCTGCTGTTGGGAACAGGAATATGAGGGAATTATTACCAGACAGCTTGGTCTACATCTGCAGTGTTCTTAATCACCCAATCTACCTCAGTCACAATAAAGCCTCATAGGGAGACGAAGTAGCGGCCGGTTGCTTCAACATAACTTCTTAAATTTTAATCATCCGGAGTTTTAAAGGAAGAACCTTATTGCTACTTATCCTGGGAATATGTGGTCAGTTAGCCGTCCTTGAATGGAAGTTCGATTTCTATTCTATTAGGCGAGTTTCGGTTGAAAAGTACCCCCAATGTGGATGTTTGTTGTCTGGGTTAGGTCTAACCTTGCAATTATCATTCTGTTAGAAATGATGTGCTGTGACTGATCTAAACGCCCATAGCTGCGTAATTTCCACAAAAATCTGAATTCAAGGTCGACTAATTGTGAGGATAGTTTTTATTACACAAAATCCAGCGTGTGGCTCCAGTGTCATGCTAAATTTGACAGATTTTCCAGCGCCGTTTCTGTGTCGGTGAAAGTATGGGGTTTCAGTCACAACTCCAAGTGGATTGGACAGTGAAGCTGACTTTTAGAATAAATTTACTCCCATTAGGTGAAATGGCAAACCGTGCAGCGGATAAAGAACCAGTTTACTTCAACATATTCCAGTAGTACAGCTGACGACTGGGTGGGGATGTCTACTGGCTAAGATTACAAAAGAAACACAATAGGGTTCTTGGCAATTTTGTGGGTGCCCGGTTGTTTTTTTATATATTTTTACGAAATTACTTACGATAAGTTAAGGTTCCAATAAACTGACGCTGAGGCGAGTTTGGGCTTTGGTGAGTTAAAGTTTAGTGAGGAGTAGTTCGGTAATTATAAGAGGATTTGTCGATTTTAGACAAATTAACGGTCCGATAAATTGAGGGCTTGATTGGGGTTTTGATGGCGTGCTAAGCAATGACTTCAAAGAAACTAAATTTGTATTTTCAGCTAATTTTTTGTCTGCATCTTTTCAAGGCAAACAGTGGTGCATTCAATACCCCTTTCCTTCGAGTTGACTTTCGATAGGTCGTTGGGACATTTACAGCGTGGACACCGCCTAAGACTGAGCTGCGTTATCAAGAAAACTATAGCTTGTGAATCATTTGAATCTCTTCCACATAAGGTCCTAAACCTTCTTCCTAAAAGTCAACTGGAAACACAAAGTCAGAAGTTCCTCACTGTAACAGTTTAATTGATTTTCAAAGACTTTAAAGTAACTTTGCAAGTAATTTTTTAAACTTAATACTGATTCCCTTCTACAGTTTCGGTACACATCCAGATACTGATATGATCACTTTAGGTGGTTTTAGAAAACTGTTGATTCAATTTTGGACCACGAGACTCAATCAGGACACAAAAACTGTTAGTTGGGTTTTTGGTAGCGACAGTATTCACCCAACTAACGATTGAGCCGCATTTTGGAAGTTTATGCCATCAAATGAGTCACTCTGTGTCTAATTTAGAATCAGATGTTGCTCAATTTAGCTAATTGTTGTTATCAATAGCGAAATTGAGAGATGTAATGCGTCAGGGCTTTTAGTAAGCAGCACAGAAAATTGTTGGAATAACTTCAGAATAATTGTATAATTTGATCGTTTGGTTTCAACAAAATGGGCGATAATGTTCACGAAGACAACAAGGAATAAACTTCAAGAAACATTGACATATGGTAAAACGTTTAGGCGCAATGTAAAAGATGGGGATCGGGGTTGATAACAAGTACCAGATGGTTTACTTAACTCCTGGAACTAATTCGACCTTGGTTATTGAGCATGACCTTAGGAGTCCAAAATTTTCGCCTCGACCCGAGAATTTAGCAGTTTTTTGCGTTCCTGAGCGCATACCTAGTAAAAACTATAAATTTTCTATGTGCCAGCACAGTAATAATATTAGCATGATGTCGAAGAGTTTAAGTAAAATTACCGCCGTGCGCCTTAATGTCCAGTTTGAGATAAAGCTGCAACGGGACCGACAAACAAACTATGTGACCATGAGATCTGCCTTAATACCACCGCCTGCTGAAGTTCAACAAGCTACGGCTTCCGCAGGGTTTGAGTAAGGCCACCACATTTAACTACAATGATACTAATACTCATCATTTCAAACATGACTTAAATTGGCACATGACAGTGCGATCCACAAATAAAGGGAGTAGTTGGTTAGGTTTTATCTTTTGACATGTTGTTCCAAAGACGCTCAGACGACACACGTAGACAGTGAGTAAACCGTGGGGTGGCTGAGCCCAGTGTATGCTAAATGCGTCATTTTGAGTACTATTGTTTGGAGAACTAGGAAATTCTACTCCGCAGATGTTTTGGGCTGGGGTTTAAACGGTCTGGATGTGGTAATTCCGAATTGTGCGTACCATCCAGGTCTCACCGAAACAATTGCGCTAGAAAGATGATACTGTGAACCAGCCATTACGACTAACGCAGTAACCTGAGATTAGTTTTCACTAGATATCCAAGGCTAAACTGCCAATTCAGTGACTTTTTATCAACTTCCTGCCAACGAAGCCTGGAATATCTTGATTGGACGCTGGGGCACTTATCAAGCAGAATTCGCGAACATTGTCCAACAGTACGGAAAACGAAAACTTGAGGCAATATATCAATTTTATTTTGGCACCCCATCGTGGGTACCATGTTGGCAATAACAGACCGTTCACAGGCATATCAGGTCCCAATGTTTTAGCCAAAATGATGCAAGAAACTGTCACTAGCCGCCGTAAAGGTAGTAGATAAGTGCCTATTCACTCTCGCGCTGCGCATCCAACAGAAATACGCTAAGCCTTTGACACTCACCCCCACTAAAGTGTAAGCAGTCTATCTGGTCGCACACGTTGAGTTTCGCTCCGTCACCTGCACTCATCTGTACTTACCCTGTTGTTCAGATGTTTATATTTCACAAGAATGCTACTTACTTAGAAGTGGATCGCATTTCGTTCGCCGCTTCCTTCCGCTCTGACCTCCATGGCATTATTAAACGAAAACGTTTTACCCCGCTGGCCGTTTGTCCGCTAGCAGTCTTAGAATGAGGTGCCAAGTTCGTCTTGTTCTCCGTGATGGGGTCCCACACTAGTGGCGAAATGTTGTAAGTGAACTTTTCTCGCAGTTCTTTGATCTCCATGCAAGGAAATGGAGCCAGCTGGTAAATTTCGAACAGAAGCTCGCGCGTGCTGACGATTCGACCCTCGGCAAATTCGGCGACCAGTTTTGTCATGGTTCCGTAGAATTGATCGGCTGACTTCACTTTCATCAACCGGCTGATAAACAACAGACGAAGCAACAAGATATTTCAAAACTTTCAAAGCACCATCACTTAAGACCATAACAGCTGAGAAAAATGAGTGCGCAATAAGTCAAAAAAGAATAACTGTTTTGTATTCACACATTCTAGACGAGAGTGCATCCTGTAGGGAACTTGTTGTGGGCGTAACTTGTGAGCCAGATTCAAATCGTGCGATCGTCCAAATGTGAATGTTTCGAAGGAAAAGGCCGGGTCCACTGTTGCATCAGCAACTATGTTAATGAAATCAAAGTCAGTAATATTAATTTATGACGTTGTTTTGCGTGGAATTATGTCTATCAGTGGCTCTCTATTCCCTACCTGTCGATCAGATAACCAACTGACCTTCTGGAAGGTCATACAATCTGCTGGACAACTGCGGCTAGAATTGTGTGTTTGAAAATGCGAAAATTCAAATAACGTTGAAAAGGAGAGCGCCAAAATAACTTAACAGATATTAGAAATTATGGATGTGTGAAGGACAAGGTAACTTTGCTCTGGACCACGTTGATATTAAGTTAAAATAGTAGTAGTCCTAGTGTGTCCATCGCTTGTCAAACAGATAGCTTAAACATGACATAAAGGCCATAACTTCGACCCCGCGGAGATCTCATGACGCATTCGCTACGGCTAAATTAAAAGTGGCTCAGTACAGTCATATCAGTCACATAAAACCTCGGTCTCCAATGTGATGGCGGTACACGATGTTATAAAAAATCTGGGCAGTAAATTGCGCAAATACCGCGGCTGAATGGTGCCGTCTGATCTTCTCGTAGCCCTAGTTCAGCACAAAATCCTGAAAAAAGATGTAGCCAGAGAGTGTATGTTCAGTGAAATCCAGATGGGAAGTTAAATAATCCCTTGAGATTATTATACTAGAAGTTCATATTGTCCTGCTTCTTTGGCGTTCCCAGTAGGACTATGTCTTTAATCATTTTGTTACCTAAAGCTCAATCGGTTTCAAGAAACCTCATGATACTTCGCAATGCAGTGCATCGAAGAGGTTGCTGCTACTGTGACAGCGACATCGGCAATACTTTGTGTGAATGTCCATCAAGCTCAGTTTAGTGTCTTCGATTATTGAACTGATTAATAATAGCACAATGAGACTTCCATTTAACAGGAGTATACAAAAGATTTGGTGAATGTCAGGACTAGATGGTCCGTCAAAATACACGAATTACTGGCGATGTGGTCTTCCGTAAGCAGCTCTTAGTGCAAATACAATGTGCCGAGATTTTTGGACATTGCGGACATCGTTTTGGTGCAAGTGAGAAGCATTGTCTTAGGTCCGTCTAGCGGATGACTCAGCCAATTGAGAATCGTGTACAAAAGGTGAAGCAGCAAGCTACACTGAGGCAGAAATAAATATGTGTGCAAAGACTGACGCTAAGGTCAGCACCAATCTCATTTCAGCCACACACAGTAGACTTGTCATACAGTGAACTGACTCGTTTGAACACCAGTTTGGAGGACAGCAACCTTGGAACATTGCTGGCTAGACAAGCGGTGAGAGAAAAATCAACCAAATAAGGGTAACATTTCTTAATTTTCCTCAAATAAGGTCCTTGGATTAAAGATAAAGATGCTGGCTGTTCCACTCATTCCGTGGATTTTGGCGATCGATTCAAAAACAAAACCTGAGTGAGAATGAATCTTGACACACTTTTACGGGGAACAAGGGTGAAATGAATAAATGGAAGTGGAGAAACGCTAAATGTTAGAATGGTAAATGGAGAATCAATAGAAATGAAAGCATGGATCCAGACGGTTTCAATGAAATGATCGAAGATAAACAGTTATTAATGATTAGGCCCACTGAACATGTCGCAGCGTACGCTGTTCGACTATCCACAGTTATGTTTATATCACCTGCTTGTTAATGTAATGATGAACCTAGTATGGTTCTAGTTCACCCTGCTGTATGAGACGGCTGGCGTCTGATAAACATCAGGGCTACTTTTAGTGAAATAAAAAGACACTACCGCTTCACTAATCGAGTTCGAGAGCGAAGCAATTTTCTTCTCCCTAAACGACTCCTCTGTTTCTTCAATCATGTAGATCAACATGTAAGTTCTCATGGCGGTCGATGTCTTTGGGAAGCACCTATGACAATAGCTTGGATTAAAAATAGATATCATGTGACACCCTGTCCACCGAAACCTAAGTTAGCGTTGTTTCTACGCAGCAAATTTACCGGTGGCCTGTAACTGAATTTGTGCTGTGTTTTCTTAAGTTCACTGAAAAATTTAAAAAGAGTTAAAATAAGTTCCAGTTATTTGGACAGTAAAAGAGGAAGAGCACAATGTGACCAGTACTGGCGAACGATGTCTCTTCGAATAGCTTTATCAGTCGGAAATTGCTGTGTTAGCTACAATGGTGTTAGTCCTGCTGAGTTAACTCGTTTCTCCACTTCCGAATGTAGTACTTTGCTTTGCCTCACATGATTTGCTGTTCGCGAACGCAGAAGTGTTTACTATTCAGGGTGAACTTTGAGAACATGACTTGGCTTGTATGTCTTATTTTCAACACCGTTAAACAGGTATGGACGTGTCGCCTTTGTTTCAGGCCTGTGAACATATGTGCGTATTTGTTCAAGTTACGACCAACGAGCTTCTGTTAGCTGGCCTAGCCAAACGCTATTGTAGTAATGCGATGTCAGCATGCTAGCATTTATGCACCTGTTTATTAATGTAAAGAGCTGGGTCGGATTTTATCCATCACGACAGCCCAAGGCACGGATTGTGAAAGCTGTTGCAACATTCAACCACAAAAGGAAATGGATCTGACACAATTACTATTTTTATGCAAATACCGAAATTCAACCTCGTCGGCATCTTGTGTAGTTCCAACTTAAGTAGGGTCTCGACACCTGGAGAAACCACAGCGGACACAAAGGGTTCTTTCCCCGATTGCACTCATGCAAAATCCTTCGGATCGTGTTTGGATCATATCCCTAATATTGAAGTCATTCAGACTGCGAAATTCGCTGAAATGGAGCGCACTTTGGCGCAGCCTTATTTAGACCATTCGAGACGAAGAACCCATGTCATGAAACAAAGTACTTGCGGTCCCATGGAGAGTGGAGGCCAGACTACAGATTTCGTCATAAGGGCAGTGTCTGAAACAGGATTGCCTTTAGTGAAGACCCTTGATGAGGCTATCTGAATATTAACGGTATATTCAGGCTTATAGAAGTTTTGTACACAAGGGGTCTCAAAGTTCTGATACAAGCAATCCTTTCGGAAATGACTAGGTTTTCTCTGTAACACTGGGTAACCTGCGGATTTATGTGACTTATTGGAACTAAGCTTGTGCGCCAACAGCATACTTATCCCTATCTGCTGTAACCTAGTGAATTGTAATGGTTTTTTCATATCTTCTAAGAGTATCACCACCTGCATGGCTACTAGATAGACGCCAGTTTATTAAATACCACCTTGTTAGTAATAATAACAATAAGAACAATTATAATCCCTCAGCTGTAAAACTCTTTCTATGTCTAGGTAGGATGCGAACCGACGAAAATATCAAGGCTAAGATACTGCCAAGTTACTCAAATCTAGACAAAGGTACTCGAGATAGCTGGTTGGGTTTGAAGGACGAACCTTACGGTTAGTAAGTTCGCAGCTCTACAAATGAACTACGTAGAGCTACAATACCACCTCACGGGTGTGCTAATAAAAGTCTCAAGGGAACAACGTTAGGGCAAAAAACAAAGAATTCGATAGATAACGTCAACGTTCTGTTGTTGAACACTGTGGTGGAACCATGTTTAGGCCTACTGGTAGCCAACAACAGGTCTCTGCGGCAGAACTTGGTTCTGCGGTCTGCTTCGACAACAAGATATCTCTCACAAAACTACACTGGTCTTTACCCAACTCAGTTACACTTTCGGCTGTGCACTGGCAGCAAGTGGCTGTATGGCTCATGGCCTGGTAAGCTATCAATCGCATTCTGACAAGTTTTTTTAAAAACAAGAATCAGGCTCTGATGATTGCATCAGTGGATTTTCTCTCCGGTTTGTTTGAAACTTCTGAAAATAATTGGCTAGAAGAAAACCTGTTAGCGTAGTGAAATTCAACGTGCATTTCATATGGAGCGTGGTTTGGGGGTTTTCTTAACAAGATCACGGTTAGTCTGGAAAAGGATCCAAGTGAGGATGCAACCACGTTGGTATCCAGTGCTAATTAACTGATGGAAATCTACAGAGATCCGGTAATACCACACTTGAGTGACCAACGAATAGCGAGTTAAAGCCTCACTGTCTACGAGTATGCATACGCTTGACTTTGTATGCGGAGCCATACATGAAGTAAATAGCTGCACTTTTAGTTTTGCTTTGGGAGCAAACAATGCCGTTTGCTCATAGCATTTAGGTCCTTATGAGGTCACAAAGAACTCATTAGGCTTTTCAAAGCGCACTTCAACTAGAGAGCATACGATATCATTCTTGACTATGCATCATGTGCGACTGTGTGCTCTCATAGCAAATAAGAAAAGCTTACTTGAGTGTATGATAAAACTAATTGACGGTGTTCGTATCTGTCGGTGTGAAGTCACAGTGACGCATATACTTGTCTGACAGGACTCAAAACAATGGAAAATAAAACGGTACTTAACAATAGCAGTAAACTTGCCTCGCCAAGAAGTCCATAATTACAATAGCTGTTCTAAGAATAACTTCCGAGCCCTCCAGTAAGATACTATCCCATATGCGTAGTACGGCGTCGGGTGCTAGGCATGTGGCAAACAACGTTAGAAACCATTGAATAATGTAGACGTTCATCAGAGGGGGTTCGTATAAGCTTTGTGCACGACCGAATAGCGAAGGATTCACTACAGGTTGGCCAATTTTAGAGTTGGCTTCAACAGCTATGGAACGAGAGAACAAGGGAAACGACACAGGGATTAATAATGGGCGGAACAGAGGGAATATAAGAGAGAAAATATAGTGCCTGATGTCGCTAAGGTTCGAATTTCACGTTAAATTCGTCTTCACGAGAGACTACACCCGAACTGCATGCAGAGTATTTTGAGGAGCCCAAGTAATGAATATGCAGTGTGAAGCAAAACCTGAGAGGTAATCAACTAAAATATTGTGATCCTGGTCTAGAATATCCAATTAAATTACCAAAATTGCTATGAGTGTGCAAGAATTACTAAGGTTACTCGGAAACCGCAGCCCGGAGAGAACTTGACATAACAACACCCATAAGGATAAAGAGAGGAGCTTTGACAAAGCTTCTAACTCACCTCCTAGTATAGGTAGACAGTTATGTGTCTGAGTGGAGGCAACTCGGATCTCGTAAATCACGGTCCAAGCACCTAATTTCCCAAACGGACACTAACTTTAGCAGTATTTATTGCACAAACTGTAGGACTCCCCGTCAGTTTTCACGGAACAAGCAAATGGATAATACCATAAACTGTGTATTCAAACTGCCATCCTACGTACATTTTCTGCCAGTTCCGGACGCCTCAGACATCATTCATATCCCATACATCCACACCGGAGATTGTCATTTCGAAGGCATTTGATCAAACAATAAAATATATTAGGTTGGAAGCCATAGTGTGGAAGTGTAAAGGGACTGTTTCAGGCCGTCGGCCAGTGACTCACGAGCCTATCTACCGGCTGATGCAATTGAGGAGATAAAAAACTCAAAAATTAAACTCGCTGCTGAAAATTTCAAGAAAAAGTATTCCACCGAGCTGCTGACCAATTTGGTCGACATAATTCAACCGAATAATTATCAAAACTCGCAGGGTGCCCAGTGAGGCAGAGTAAAAATGACAGATTTCGTATAATTAAACATTTTGAGATCCAGCTACACGGTTGCTTTTGAAAGACCGGTAAGTATCCTAAAACAACTAGCTAAGTCCGCAGTTATAAAGTACACCGCGACAAACAATCCTACTTGGTTGCGGGATTGGCTACTCGTTACTGGTCAGGTTCTGTGCCCACCATTACCGTCGATGGAGACGGGATAGTTCCTGTGAAGACAAGTGATTTATTCTGGAGAAACCCTAATCCGGGGATGAATAAAACCGCCTAAATATCGCTGAAAAAATATGGTGGGGCTAAGATTACTTCAAAAAGTAACAATACACACTTCGCAGAATGTCTGTCTGGCAAGGCGGATAATCATCAGATCATACAAAACGGGATAATTTTTACAACCTTTATATCGTTGAAAAAAAAGCAGAAACCACTGATTCAGGCGATAATTAACTTTCAGTTGGAACTAAGAAGGAGGGAAACTAACCTATTTTGGCGTGTTCCAACTAGCTATCTGCTGGCATTGGGAAAGTCTACTCACATTGGGCTATAAGGAACTATTCAAAGATTCTTATAAGCGAGGTCGAGGTAGCTCAGTGGTCAAGGCGCAGACTAACTGAACGAAGGGTCCATGGTTCGAATCAAACTCCTGCATCTTTATTGCTCCTAGATGGCCTTGAGCAGCCGGACAGTAGTCCAACTCTGATGCTTCCGTCGGACTGCTTGGTAGCTATGCACCAAAGGGGCGTCACAACTGAATGATCACTGTTGACCGTTATCATTAAAATTTTGGACCAAATGTTACAGACACGCGGCCACTGGTCAGCAGGTGGAATAAAGTCTGTCCAACTTTTGGTTTGGAAAATTGGGTGCGTGGGGCTTGAGAATCAACATCGGTGTCCTCTCAATAAAGTTTTAGATTGAACAGTTTCTTAAATCTGACCACTTCGAATTGGAGGCACAAGTTCTTTCTGAAGTTTTTACGGATACTGACAACAAGTACGTCTCTTTGCCATTTAACCATCAATCTCATTCGCAAATGCTTTATTTGGTTAGACTTGAATGCAGTTTCAGACGGGAACTTCAGCTGCTTGCTGTATAACAATTCTGAGTTGTCCTAATTCCTTATTCAGAAAAGCAAGAATGGAGTCTGTTTTCAATTTCTCTGCGTTTTCTATGAAAATTCAGTCGTAACCGGTAACATCTAGTCGATTGTTAAATCAAATGCACTGGCACACGCGTTAGGTTGTAGACGAAACGGCAGTTCACATCTTTACTTTTAGTATTAACTTGGTTTGCATCTACTCGATACTGCCGCATAACGTGTAGTGGGTTGCATCCCACCCTAAAGACTGTTACCAGTCTGATTCAGATCGATGGGGGGAGTGCTTCACGCAAAAACAGCCTTGCCGGGAAACGTAGCAAGTATACAGGAAGTAAATTAAAGATCCATTATATTTTCACATCAATGAGGTCATTGAATACTGTGAAAAGATCTGATACTCATCCTTTAACTAAAAATAAACCAAACAAGTACACTGAATAGACGCTCACTTCTGCAACTAATCATCTAACCACAATCAGAATTTCATCCGTTTCATTGCACTGGTTAGTCCACATTTCTCTGTGTCCCACTACCATGGTTTGTGTTGGCTTAAAGCACCTAGTGAAGACGGATTGACAGCAGACCATGGCCTTAAAGCTGATCGTTGTCTGGTTCCGGGGTCTCATTTGTAGATGATTAAAAAGCTGTTGTGTATGTTTATTTTACTTACCAGCCTTGTACTGTAGTCGATCCAAGTGAGCTGATAGACGAGGAATTTTGGTCTGAAGAAGATGACGAAACACCGCAATGTCCACCGAAAGTGCTTGCAAATTTTGAGCAAAGTAGGATTCGGGTAGCACATAGTCGATCAAGTAAACCATTATCTGTGGAAATGAGAACAAGATTGCAGGCAGTAGATATGATCCAGAGAAGAGTGACTCAAATGACTAGAGCTTAGTATCCCCGAAAAGGAACCAGAACAAAGTTCAGTTAACGGGACAATGACTGGGCGTAGTTTATAACATGCCTGTCTTGAAACCAACGCAACTACAATGGATACAATGACAGTGAGCGTTGGGCTAATTTCGTGAGGACAATCATAATGACTTCTGAAAGTAAACTGGTTCAATGTGGTCATGGGTGAACGTTCCATAGCTTCATTACAAATCGTTGGTGACATTCATGTCTTTGTTCCCAACACTATTCGGCATAATTCTTCAGGCTCGGTGTTAGTCTGAGAGGGGAAGTTCCTATTAAAGTGCCTAAAGCTCAAGGGTGAATCTTTGAAATACAAGGAAATATGTAGTACCAAGAACCTCACTGAGTCATCTATTATCGAAGCGCATGAGTAGCTGAAACCAACGCGGTGTTGAGAGAACATTAATCATGTTGATGGGTCCATCCCGCTGTCACAAGATACTCATTTGAGTCATCCATTAACCTAGCCTTGTGTGCACAGGAATAATCTACTTCATGTAAGCAGGTATAGCTTAGTTTGAAATCTAAGGTCACTTGACCGTGTGAAGTCAACTTCTCGACCCTCCATTCGTCTGAGACTTTCGACGGTATTAGTCACTACAGCTTCTGGTAATGTCTGTTGAAGGTAGATAGTGTGATGACCAGTAGGGTTCATGACTGTCACAATAGCAGTTCGCGCAGGTGATCTAGTTGTTATGATCGTTCATCAGTCACGGCAACATTGGGGTACGTTTAGAATATCTGATATGATCTAAATTTCCCTCCATGTTCCTGTTCTGTGGAAATTAAGAGAACTGCGATGAATTGACGTGTGAGATTTTTCATCAGCATGATGCTCACTAGTTACGTCTACCTAAGATACATAATCAATAATTATCCGAAAAATTTATGAACATCAGAAAATAACAGAATCTTTGGATGGTGAAATTCTCAGCAGTCTAAATTCAGAGATGCGAAAATATGCGAATCTTGCTCCTCAGACAACTCCCCTTGACCCAAGCAATCATTATTTAACGTTCAAAAAACCACCGTTATTGTTACAGTATTATCACGGCGCCGAATGAAGCTGTGCGTGCGCGTTTCCTCCTGATCATGCCAGACATCGTCGATGGATATTATCTAGGCCACTATCGGGAACAAATAGATTATGCGTGGTCAGGACACATTTTGGAACATTCGTCGCTGGAAGATTCATTTTTGCGTAGTGGACCATTTTGATCAAGCGGCACACTAAAAAATTCATGAATTACTGGTAGTTTGTTTGCTGAGCTTAGTGACTGGGTTGCAAACCTTTCCTTTCAGTCGAGGAGACATCGTTATTGCGCATTTAAGTGGGCATTTCCTCCTACCCTATTTGCTTTTATATGGCTTCTGAACAGCTATTGGTCGGCTACCAAGGGGAGGGCTCTCACGTAGCTCTTTCGGTCAATGTGAAACTGGTGTTAAGTTTGAGTCCTGTTGCTTTGTACTTGAGTGGTCCTTTGAGCGCCTTTATCTCAGCAGTTCTGTTCCTGTATTCTGACTGATCTGCCTTCATGTCGCGTTGTGATCAACTGGACAACAAAAGAATACTTTAGACAGCAACAAAATAGAAGGCTATTCAGTCGATCAATCAAATGAAGGAAAGGCCAGTAACAGCACAGTAAATAGGCGGATCAACCAAAAACGGAACAGGCGGAATATAGGCGTGTGGCGAATCAATCAAGCACAGAGCTATGAAAAAAAACAATTTTGAACGGCTCGATCAAGCTACGCAGAAACCACCCCGTAACTGACCGATCACAGCACATGTACTGGGTACTTCTCAGAAACTATATAAACTCAAGCGGACCACTCAGTCGCGCACTGACGATAGATCCTTCGAGTGGAGAGTTAGCGTTTGCGATCCAGTGGATAAACCTGGCGAGCAAAAAAGTGCACCGCAAAACATCGTGTGCCATCGGAAATTTTAACGTTCAAAGATGAAAGCTGATAGAAAATCTGATGTGTGGCGCGTTAACTGTCAACAGTATCATCCAAAATTGTTTCATGGCACAAGAACTGCCTTCTGATGCCAATATTCAGGAGAGTATAAGAAACTAGCTCTTGTACGTCATTGAAATCTAACAGCATGATTATCCACAACTGTTCGACGTAAACAGGGCAGTGCAGAAAATGCACATTACTTTAAAGGTTACCTTAGTATTGTGTCAAGTTGTGATTATCTGGATCGATGGCGTGAAAACAGTACAACCATCGGATAGCCTTTGTGGAAAGAGTTTCTCACCTTGAAAGCTTCTTTTTCATCACGATCCATCACATCCAGAATGGCAGCTGCAATCACATTGAAACCTTGACAATAACCAACTCGTTTATTCCAACGTGCATATGCAAGCAGTACACGTTTCAATGACGCTCTGTCCTCATCCGACCCGAACTGCTCACATCCAGTTCGATGCAGATCCTTCACAATCTGAGACCCCAAGCTGTCATCATCCGGATTGGATCGATCGTTGAATGCTAGCCGAACTACATGTTGCCAGTCTACATGCTGTTTTGCCAGTTGGCGATCAGCGAGAGTGGACCAGACACGACGCCGTACAAATTTCGGGAGACCATCACCCAGACGAGCCATCAAGCGAATGGCTTCTCGCCACTCGCTAAACGCCTCATCACCCGGTCGTGGCTCCATACTAAACTTGATTTCCTTGTCATGACCTAGCAAAAAGGATGCGAAACATTTGATCTCACATAATTACGACAAGAATTGTGAAAACGCAAACTGCCAATGAAGCAGACAGGTTTTTCGAGTAGTTACTGGATGCCATCAAATTTGTTTCTGCTGTTTTGTTTCGTTTGACACGTTGGACTGATAGCGTGCATCCCACTACGTATTCCTATTGCTCAAAGAAGTTATGGCAAAACATAATACGTACTTCCAGTGTTTCAGTCTACTTCCGTGCTTTCAGAGTGCAGACATCGCCAAACATACCACGGGGAAATTCAGTGCTCCTTTCTTCAGTTTTTAGCTGTCTTGGAATTTTATACGTCTCTAACTGAGTATCATTTGAAAGAGGTGGATCAAGCACAGAACAAGCAAGCGCGTATGGAATGGGGATGATATTCGCAATAGAGCATCTTTCAGGCCTACCCAACTGAGCTAAATTAGATGGAACGCTCGAATACAATGTGAGCGAGTCAGTACTGTTGTTTATTGACACTTTTGTGAGGGAATTTCAGCAGGTCGAGGCAGCAGCTGTTAGTTGATTGGGAGAATCCTCGCCCTCTCAAAAATAGCTTGTTAGACAAATCTTCGTGTGGGGATCGAGACTGACGCAACGCAAGTCACCAGTTGTCAGTTTTCAGAACGTTACTGAAAGCTAAGCTGCACCAGTCTCCTGATGCAATCGTCGGAGTTTCGGATACGATAGTCACGCTCTAGCAAACCAAAGAGACACACCAAGAACTTTTGCATACTAATGCCAAGATGACTGGTAATCACAAAAATCGTGGGAGGACATCAAATTTTCTGGAAGGAAAGTTGATAAGAATAATCTGGGGCTAACGACCATGTCCAAAAATCTTTCTCTCAAGTTAGCTTAATTTCAATTATGCAATAAGTATCCCTTAGTCCTCAAGAGGCAGTGGCTCATGTGCACTCTGTGATGGGATGGTCTAGGTAAAAAGGAGTTGGCGGTATAATGCGCGCACTAGTACACCGGCTACCCGCCCCCCCCCCATTTGTACGTATAACAGCGTCCCTCTCATCTGGTGATCCGATAGCCCAAGTAGTTGCTTGGATCAAAAATGCGAGTTAATGAAAAATATTCTACAAGAATACGACACTTTGATATGACCAAAACGTCTATATACACGACTGATTGCGTCCCCTTATTCCTGATTATCAGAATACGTCGTCTTGACGTACTTCTAATCACAATAATTGCCGCTATTTAAGGTCCCAATGGATAAACTGTTCACTTTACCGTACATAGTGATGTTATGAAGAAAGGCCTTTGAAAGAAGCCTTCTACGCCCGGCCCACTGTACTATCCATCCAAAGAGAGACTATCTTCTCGTGAGTTTCAGGGACGCATTCAAAAAGGCTATTCCACGTATCACACCTGTCACCAGATGCCGTTTATAACGCGAGTGTATAGGTATGTATCTCAGGTATACGATACCTAGTTTCGTTGAATCATGGGTGTTCTCACTGAAAAAAATTATGTGAAGCTATTGGAGTGGATACCCACAGACAGTTGCAAATTTGTTTCAAATCCCCCAACTCAGTAATCAAATTCTCTTCCATCCTGGTAACAGTTGTACCGTGCTCATATAGAGTTTGACCTCTTGGAGAACACCGAGTAGCAGAAAGAACGGCAGCCAGACATAACGCTGTAACAAAAATCATTCGACTCATCACTCACTCGAAGGCAAAAAAGGTCTACTAGGGGTACTCAGGTGATATTGACCACAAGTACGTGAAAAGTGGTGATCTGTTGCAACCTACGTCCGTGATATACGCACATCGTAGGGTGAGTCATCACGTTTGAATCCCGAAGCAAAATGCCTGTCACGCTGGACTACGATGAGAAGATTGTCACTGAACATTTTGTATACAAGTTGAAGAAAGTGAACGTGCAGAAAGTGTGCTATATGAAGGCCTTAATGCGTTGAGGCCCATTTATAGAATAAGCCACGTCTTATTGAGGCTGACCTCTCAGCAACTGGTGACTAGGCGAGAAACAGTTACTTCAAGTTGTTCCACTGTCAGGTTTTGTTTTACAAGCAGGAGCCGAATAGTAAACGCTGTCCAGTTCTTTTACCCAGATTAACGGATCGCCCACCGGTTTTAATCACCTTGGTGACCAACTATTCCATATGACATTAAATTACAATATAGCCCTTTTCTTTCTTCTTGGTGCATGTCACGAACTAATTTCAAAAAATGAATGGAACTTTTATTGGAGAATCCGTCCCTGGAGGAGCCAATCAGTACGCTACCGTGCAATATGGATTTCTTGACGGAAATACGAGTGGCGTCTTATCCCGTCCAAGTGCAATTTAACAGCACTTGGCCGAACGGTTAAGTGTTAAAAACACTGGTCAAGAGATCATGAGTACAAACATCCGTGGAATTTCATGATATACAAACTGCTGGTGACTCCCAATGGGGATGGGGCGATTATACATTGCTTTCGGGCGTTTCTGTATAGACGGGCCTTCCCACTACCAGAAATCGTGTTTTCCTTGCTTTACGGGACGCAACACCACGTGAAGATATTTGCTTAGCGCCTGAAAACTGTGCTATTGTAACAGCGATTGACTAGGAGTCAGGGCTCTTTTATGTCCCCTTTGATGACTGCACCAAAGAATTTTCCCCAGTGCCGAAAAAGTTCTATTTGCACGCCTACGTAGAACAAATACAAGCAGCATGGCTGTCCTTAGATAGAAGGGATTACTCGTCAGATGACCGGTTACCGAGTAACTGGGGCCGTGGACAATGCTACAACGGCATACGTTGAGCAAGATGGGCATTTTTCTATTAACTGACACCTCCCGGAAAGACCACATCAAAAACCTCATAAAATTACCTTGTTCTGCTATGTGGTCTCTCTTCTAAAACCACGTATCAAGGGACCAAATATAAATGGTATTTCCCTATAGCAAGCATCTCCGAAGTTGGCCTCTCCAGAGGAGGAATGACTGCTGGCATAGACAAATTATTTGACAGCTTGTCATACATTGAAAATGCCATGATGTACAAGAAAAAAGAATAAAACCGTAGTTGTATCTAGAGCGAAACATCACACAGAACAAAACTCAATAGTGGCTTTAAATATCCGATAGAATATTCTGTTGTTTTCAATCTCTAAAACCAGTCCAATTCTGGTTTCGCGCTGCACATTCAAAGTACCGTTGCACCGAAGAAATAAACAACTGGTGCTAACTGAGTCATTTTTAATAGGAGGGGAAAAGTTGAGTTTTCGTTAATACTCAAAGCGCTCTGAACTTATCAGGTTAGAGTCTCGCCAAGAAATGTCTCCAGTTTAAATTATTTCCTATGTGCAAAACACGATGAATTGTAATGAAATATCATGACTGGTTAAAGCGAACAGGTTGCGTAAATCATATGCCAGCAGTTGTTATGGAACGAGCTGGCTCCGTGGTTAGAGCGCGAGTTAATTGCCGGATGGTTTGTGGTTCGGATCGGACATCTGCATCTTGACTTATCCTGTCTGGGCTGGGGCAATCTGGAAGTATCCCAGCATTCGCGCTTCATTTGAATGGACTGGTAGATATGCATAGAAAGGGTGCTACAGCCGAAAAATTATTTTAGCCTGTCAGTAATTGTAATTTTAACCGTCATAAAATTTTAAATTTTTTGTCATATTGATTCGGGTCGGAAAAATCACCGGACTCCGTCCACTTGTGTCTCCCTCCTACTGAATATTTCGCCAATCCGGTTCACTAGATGGCTAGCCCACGCGCTTCAGTGGTCAACAAAACTCCTTCGAAAGCCTTCGTCAAGTATTACTTTCTTTCCAGACTAATTACACTTTGTAAGCACTGATGAGATTGGTGATTAACGAATAATGAACCGTCATCAACTGCTTCCGGTCTTTTCACCATAAGTACCGAATTGCGGAATTACAGCTTCATTATTCATCCCAGATTACTCATCCATTCCGGTAATTCCACAAACTAATCGTCAAAACTCATTAAAATTTGTCATTAACGCGATGGACAAGCTGTCAATTGCGAATCAGTGCCTCTTTCCATCCAACCGCTTGGCAAAACAGATTTAGGCGGTCTACAAATGGAGTTAGACTTCAAAGCAAAAACACAAAGGAAAAGAAGTAAACTCACTAGAACCCAGGTTCACTACACGTCTGGTTCCAAGACCAGGAGTAAGTGACGGCTTGAAAGGGCCAGAAAGTCTTTTTATACCAGGCGCAGACTCTCCATTACTTTGCCGTTTCAGTTCATATTGCAGGTTTGAATGCCGATAAATTCCAGGACCACGACGCCCGACCAATACAGCAGTGGATTCAATATATGCCTGCGGAGGATCATTTTCTACCTCCTCATCCGCATAGTGGTCTCTTCCATCGCTTCCTTCGCTGGTGAATGACATACTGCCACCCCTACATTTGTAACACGTCCCAGCAATCAACACATTCCCTTATCTGGGAGCATTCGTAGCGTTTAACCCGTCCGTCGAGTTGTTTGGAGAAAACGAAACTATGCTCAGCTTAGAATAAGATTTAAAAATTTTCTATGCTCACGCCCCCGCATCTACGCTCATTCGTAAGCTGTTTTGAACCAATCAGGTTGATTTTCAAATCGATAGGCATATGAGGCTTATTTGAACGGACACAACCTAATAGCCATAGGACAGGCGTTAAAGCCATTTTCTTTACTTTCTACCGTACAAATTTAGCATAAAATTTACTCAACTCGGATTACTGGGTGTTCTAATCAACCTCGGAAATAAAAATATCCTTCCGACTCTAATCTAATTTTTTCTCCGGCTTAATTTATTTTCCGATTTGGAAGACCTACGAAATTAGGGCAGACTGCAAGGCTTACAAAAAATACTGGCAAAATGTTTCCAGCTTGGAGCAACATTTGAGGAAAGTGGCGTCAAAGCAATGCATTCGAGCCATTCTAACAAATTTAAGCAGTGAAATGACATGGGCATAGAAAAGTGATCATTAGACAACCAAAACGCTCCAGACGGTGTATCCATTAAGCTATTCGGGGTTTTCTAACGACGATAGCACTTTTGAAGCATGTTTTCGTCCACTTTGAATTTGTAATGATGGAGAACTCCAACAACGTGTCTTCTCTTGTTCTACACATACTGAGTGCTTTATTTTTAGCAATAACGCCGGTGGGTTGAATAGGGAAATTTAGCCATGGTGTGTACAAGGAATGAACGGTTCACCACAACTTAAGCATTAATCCGGAATGTCAACGCAAATTATGTAACAACAAGGAGCTGCTAGTTGACCAGAACAAGAGTTTGCGTGTTAAGCTGACTTCCTATCTAGGCGTCATGTATGCAACCAACTGCCGCTTCCGCACTTCTAGCTAGTGTATCCCACAATTTAAAGGCTCCCAAGTGGCGGCTTCAACTCCGAAGATCTAGGGCTGATAATTCTGGCGAAGCTGCTAACAGGAGGTATAACGGCAGACTCAACTGGGGTGAACAGCAATGTAGCGTGTGCGACGGAGGAGGCCGGTGGGTTATTAGATGTTTCGGCTGATGTGACGAGGACCAAAGTGCTTCCTATCGTTTTGTTGGCACCTCATCCAATAACCAGAAAAGCGGGTTTCATCGTAACTTACAAAATAAAGTCAATGTGTAGAAATGTATACGCAGATATGAAACATCCGTACCCACCAGTCTCCGTTTTCTCACTGTTAGCCAAAACTCTAGAGGGTAAGCAATATTTCAGCTTACATTTCGGCTGTGTGTAACTGTGTAACTGGTGCTTCTGATAAACCAAAATTTTATTTTGTATACGGAATCAAACAAAGTCGTTTGTCATCTCTTTTTTCGCCACCAAGTTTTTGCAAAAGGTTTTACCATATAAATACACACGATCCAAGCCTGGTCTCCATGGCTGCAAAAGGATACACAACTGCTAGAGCGTATCTACCACCGCGCGACCAAGCTGGTCATTGGCCTCCGAAACGTTCCCTACAGTGAAAGGCTACGTAAACTCGATTTGTTTGATTTAACTTATCGGCGTATACGAGGAGACCTCATCCTGATGTTCAAGATAATAAACACCCCTAATCACCCTTTAAAACATTTGTTCACAGTTAATTTGGCTCGACAGACCCGACGGAATCCA